GAACATGTAGCGATTGTAATAATAAGTGTCGGTTGTTTCCGTTTTCTTCTTAGTTTGCAGTTTGATAACTGAATATATTGTTCATGTGATCGCATCCTCTTTGTTGCCCCGCCATTTATCATGCATGCAAGTGAATTATCACCCAACGCATATCACAACTTGGCCGAGGAGACAATGCAGCGACTGATAGAATATTTTGATAATCTTGGGGATAGAATAGAGCTGGACGGATATGATGTCGAGTACTCGGTGAGTTAGAGGATGCAGAGGTGCATACAATGTTATTTATAGAGTGGTTTGATAGCTATGGGATATCGTGTTATAATGTATGTATTTATGCATCATCCACTGTATTTTCCTTGTAGAGTGGAGTCTTGACGCTTAAACTTGGGTCTTCTGGTACTTATGTAATCAACAAGCAACCACCGAATAAGCAGATATGGCTCTCGTCTCCAATCAGGTAAATGAAGAATAATGTTAATATTAATAATCTGTTAATCATTGTCTAACCGATTATTATTAACGATGTGAATCATAATGCTTACACTATCATTGTATAACTCTGTAAAGTGGTCCTAAACGATATGAATATGATAGTAGACATAAGAAGTGGTTTTATCACAGAGATAATACAACACTTGATGGGTTACTAAATAGTGAATTGTCGATGACACTAAATAGGAATATCAAAGTACAGACTTGAAGCAAGTACGTAAAGCTGTATATAACTGTAGTCGGTTAGATTAAACATAAAATTATACGCAGTACTTTAATAATACTATTTTTTAGAACGCTAGAACTACTTTTATGTATAAACAGAATTAGGGAACTATTAAAAATCCATTATGGTATTTGAAAATAAACATTAATTCTTTTCATCGCTAGTTTTGTCTCATAGATCTTGCTAAGTTTATTGAGGACAAAAGAACCTTTTGCATGAAATTACGTGTATATGTTCTATGTAGTATAACGAACAAGCAATTTTTTATAACACTAGTACGCGATAATCAGCGATATTACCAATTCGAGAAGGAGAGTTGTATGAAATACATGCTGGACCAGTTTACGGTAAGAGTAATGCGCTAATGGTTAACCACGTTTACTCGCTCAATGGACGGTTTGTCCCCAAAACTATTTTAATTTTGCCTTTTTTTTTTTAAAAGGTACTTAATAAATATTGCAATTTATATATTAT